AAAAAAAAAAGAGAAGAGGATAGAGAAAGATAGCAAGTGAACAATAGAGGGGATGTTAGTGAGAAACAGATATGGTTTATTATCTGTTGAAGATGACGTGTATAGTATTCTCAACTGGACTGGTCTGGGAAGTATTTCATGATGGGTGAAGTCTTTTAACAAGCAAAATGAGAAATAGTGATTGACTGTTTTAAAAAATTATAATAATAATAATTATTGGGAAATGCATGGAAAAGACTTTGAATGATAAAGCGGGGAGATCGATGCCTCTGTATTGACTGACATGCATGGCATTCCCTTTTGAAAAAGCAATGGAAGTCAATGTAAAGTTATATGTAATCCAATGTAATATAAAGAAGATTATGATAATAATAAAAAAAAAAATCACAATGAGAGACATACTGAAAGTCATTACTCCCATCTAAACAACAGAAGGAAATCTGAACACACAAAGCATTAATTCTTTTTTATATTCACAAGAAAATTAAGGTCATCCATTAAACCTCTGCCTTTATTATTACAAAGACAAGTGGATAAATTATAGCCCACAAGAGAAGAAGCCTAGGAAAAGAAGTCTTCCCTGAGAGCCAGTACCATCATTGAAAAAACTTAACCAATCTTAGTAAGTCTACTGTACTTCTAGGAGTTTTAACACAGGTTCACACGGAAAAAAAAAAAAAAAAAAAAAAAAAAAAAAAAAAGAAGAAAAAATCTGAGAAAAATTTCCTTATGCTTTTTAACCAGGAAGAGGAAAATTAGCCATTTTGAATATGCCCAGAAAATTTTGTTCTTCTAAGAAAGAATGACCTCAAAGAAACTATTTTTTGAAAGCCTAACCAAATGGGGTAAGACCAGAAACTAGTCAACCCTGAGAAAGAGAAATATGCAACTATACCTTCCCCCATGATAAAAAAAAAAAAAATGTCTCAGATATTGTATGAAAATTCCCTAGAGTAACCAAAGAACCAGAGAGACAAAATCAAGGGCAATATAATAAATTTAAGATTCTAATGCATGCAGAAACACCAAAAATTAAACACAATCTAACAGCTAGAGTGGTTGAAATAAAACCTCACGTTAAAGGACTATTTGCCTCAGTTTTTTTTTTTTTCATCTAGTATATCATGTTTGACTTTCAAAAAATATAACAAAGCTAACTAAAAGACAAATCAAAACAAAACAGTTTGAAAGTACAGTGCAAGTATTAGAAACAAACTCAGATATATCAGAGAATTTAGAGTTATTAGATAAGGAATCAAAAATAATTATAATCACTAGATTACTAGTGAAAAAAACTAGACAACATGGAACAAAAGATGGATAGTGTAGGCAGAGAGAGGAAGCACTACAAAATGTGAAAAAGAAAGGGCCAGCCAGTGGTGTATTGATTGGGACATGTGGATCCCACATGGCTAACTATAGGTTCAAGTCCTAGACCCAGTGGCTAGAAGTACATACAAAGCGTGTGCGCATTTGTGCCCAAAATCCTGAGAGGAGAAGTGATTGTGACATGGCCATCCCCCATATGTGTGTTTTCTCACTTTCTCTCTCTGTCTTTCTGTCTTTCCTCTGTGAGTGCATGTCCCCTCTAGCAAACAAAAAAAAAAAAAAAGAAAAAGAAAAAAGAAAGAAAGAAAGAAAAAAGAAATAGTAAAATGAAATACTATATATATATATATAATGAGGCTGGTCCTGTGGCACAGTGGTGCTATGCAAAGGAAGCTAGATTCTACATGGTCAACCAGGGTTCAGATCCCAGTCCTGCTAGCTTGATGTCAGGCTTGAGTGTACATGTCCAGGATCCTGACAGGGTGGAGAATTAGAGTAAAGGGATGGTGGCATGATGAGACCTTGCTTGGGTGTGCTTTCTCTCTTTCTCTCTCTGCTAGCATGCATGTATTCATGTACACATATGTACACATGCTCTCTGGTATAAAAATAAAACTAAGAAATAGTGAGTATGATGGGATTATCTAATTGGTGGACACAGACAAATAATGTTCATGTTTTTACAAAATACGGCATATGAAATGATTGATTTGTCATAGTTTTGATTTAATAATTTTGTAATGTATGCATATATCAAAACATATTTTATACTATAAATATATATAATATATATTTATCAATTATACCTTAATAAAGCTGGGTAGGGTTGGGGGAGACTCAGTGAGCATGAAGATAGACAACACTTTTAATCTTAAAATCAAAAAGAAAAACAAATGAATAGATGGAACAGAATATCTAGGAACTGTGGGAAATTTTCAAAATTTCATATACATAATGGAATATCAGAAGAGAAGAAAATGAGACAGGAACAGAAAAAAATAATTTAAAGTGCGATGACTGAGAATTTTACAAAATTATTGCAGTTACCAAACTCCAGATCCAGGAAGGCCAGAGAACAACAAATAGGATAAATACTTGCCCCCAAGAAAATTACATTTACGCATATCATATTGAAACTCCAGATAATCAAAGTCAAAGTGAAAACCTTGAGAGAAGCAACAAGGACAAATAACATATTTATAGAGAAGCAAGAATAAGATTTACATCAGATATCTCTTCAAAAACCATGGAAGCGAGATGCGCCACGGCTTCGGTAGCGACCGGAGTTTCTGCCGGGCCTGAGCTGTGCTAGCACCTCCCCCAGGAGACCGTTGCTGTCAGCCAGCCCCTGTTACACGGTGAGAGACTCGGGGACTCCGGGGGGACCCTTGCTAGCTAGTTTTGCCCCCAACCGGATCTACTGCGCCGTGCTGTCTGCGCGGCCCGCGCTTCTCGAGAAGTGGGGTGGGAGGCATCGTTCTGGGGTGGCGCGAGCCGGGAGTGGAAAGCCAGCGCTTCGGGGGGCGCGGCCCATACCCCCCCAACTGCTCTCGTTTTACCAGGGCTTTGCTTCGCAGGTAACCATGTGCGACCGAAAGGCCGTGATCAAAAATGCGGACATGTCCGAAGAGATGCAACAGGACTCAGTGGAGTGCGCGACTCAGGCGTTGGAGAAATACAACATAGAAAAGGACATTGCGGCCCATGTCAAGAAGGAGTTTGACAAGAAGTACAACCCCACCTGGCCCTCCATCGTGGGGAGGAACTTCGGTAGTTACCTAACACATGAAACCAAACACTTCATCTACTTCTACCTGGGCCAAGTGGCCATTCTTCTGTTCAAATCTGGTTAAAAGCATGGACTGTGCCACACACCCAGTGATCCATCCAAAAACAAGGACTGCAGCCTAAATTCCAAATACCAGAGACTGAAATCTTCAGCTTTGCTAAGGGAACACCTCAATCTTTGAAAAT